AAGGAGGCATCACTTGTGGCGCAACAGAAGGGAGCATTACTTGTGATGGTGCAACAGAAGGGGGCACCACTTGTGATGGTGCAACAGAAGGAGGCAGCACTTGTGATGGCGCAACAGAAGGAGGCACCACTTGTGATGGTGCAACAGAAGGGGGCACCACTTGTGATGGTGCAACAGAAGGAGGCAGCACTTGTGATGGCGCAACAGAAGGAGGCATCACTTGTGATGGTGCAACAGAAGGAGGCATCACTTGTGATGGCACAACAGAAGGAGGCATCACTTGTGATGGCGCAACAGAAGGAGGCATCACTTGTGATGGCGCAACAGAAGGAGGCAGCACTTGTGATGGCGCAACAGAAGGGAGCATCACTTGTGATGGCGCAACAGAAGGGGGCATCACTTGTGATGGCGCAACAGAAGGAGGCATCACTTGTGATGGCGCAACAGAAGGGAGCATCACTTGTGATGGCGCAACAGAAGGGAGCATCACTTGTGATGGCGCAACAGAAGGGGGCATCACTTGTGATGGCGCAACAGAAGGGAGCATCACTTGTGATGGCGCAACAGAAGGGAGCATCACTTGTGATGGCGCAACAGAAGGAGGCATCACTTGTGATGGCGCAACAGAAGGAGGCATCACTTGTGATGGCGCAACAGAAGGAGGCATCACTTGTGATGGCGCAACAGAAGGGGGCATCACTTGTGATGGCGCAACAGAAGGAGGCATCACTTGTGATGGCGCAACAGAAGGGAGCATCACTTGTGATGGCGCAACAGAAGGGAGCATCACTTGTGATGGCGCAACAGAAGGAGGCATCACTTGTGATGGCGCAACAGAAGGAGGCATCACTTGTGATGGCGCAACAGAAGGAGGCATCACTTGTGATGGCGCAACAGAAGGAGGCATCACTTGTGATGGCACAACAGAAGGGGGCATCACTTGTGATGGCGCAACAGAAGGAGGCACCACTTTTGATGACGCAATAAAAAGGGGGGGGGAAGCACCACCTGTGATGACGCAACGCAAGAAGCAGCCTCCACCACCACCAGTGACGCAACTCAAGCAACCTATCCAGGCAGCGAGAGGTAAATTATATCAAGGAAGTTGATGGCGGTGCTTCACCACGCCCTCACGCCCACGCCCGCTGCTGCCCTCAACATCTTGCAAGTTGGGCATTATAATGGCTCAAGACGACCAGGTGGTAATGTCAGCTGGCAGGTCGTGCGGGATATATATGTATGTCCGCCGCTTTTATTCGTATATACAATTCATAAACGCGTTGTTGTAGAGAAAATAAAAATCAATAATATTTGTTCTTGTGGCAAAAATACAAAATCAGTCTTTATTTTGGGCGGCTTATTCGGGTAATGAATGTATTATAGTGGTCTTTTGTTTAGTATAGTCACCAAGAATAGGCAATTCTTAAACAAAAATAATACTATTAGCTTTCCATTCGTTAGTTTTCCGATGCGTCTTTACTAGCATACTGAACGAGATAAACAGATACCGCACGAAACATTCTGCACCAACAATTTGTTGACTGAGGTGCCATTGGTGGCGTAAACATCAATCAATTTTATACAAACAACGCCGCACAAATTTCCTACAATCGAATAAAAACGTACCGACACTACACACACATTCTAAATAAAATCACCAACACGAGAGGACACGGGTGAGTGCCGAAGGAGAAACAATACTAAATTAGCGACCAGCGAACACTGGCAGCGCCGGTGGCCAGAATCAGTTGTAAACAAAAGTGGCGGGGAAGGTGGCGGGGGAGGAACATGTCTTAGCAAGACCTGCTTAAAATACCCGGGCCACCAGCCTCCAGGAGGCAGTACTCTCACGGTCAAGCACGCCGTCCACACGCGCGAATGGTACGGAAACGGTGATTGAAGGGGAGAGAGAGAGACACCGAGAGCTTAGAAGACTTGTGGCTAGGGAACAAGGAAAGGATTGAGAAACTGTTGCTGGGAGAGTTAGGTGGGTAAGATTAGTAGTATTTGTTGGGGTGAACTCTCAAAATTGACAGGGCAATGATGGCCCAGAGTTGACGGGGCAGGTATACGGCCCTGAGTCGACGAGGCATTGACGGTCAGAGTTGACAAAGCAAAGACGGCAAGAGTTGACGGGGTAAGGACAACCAGAGTTGACGGGATAAGGACAACCAGAGTTGACGGGATAAGGACAACCAGAGTTGACGGGATAAGGACAACCAGAGTTGACGGGGTAAGGACAACCAGAGTTGACGGGGTAAGGATAACCAGAGTTGACGGGGTAAGGACAACCAGAGTTGACGGGGTAAGGACAACCAGAGTTGACGGGGTAAGGACAACCAGAGTTGACGGGATAAGGACAACCAGAGTTGACGGGGTAAGGACAACCAGAGTTGACGGGGTAAGGACAACCAGAGTTGACGGGGTAAGGACAACCAGAGTTGACGGGATAAGGACAACCAGAGTTGACGGGGTAAGGACAACCAGAGTTGACGGGGTAAGGACAACCAGAGTTGACGGGGTAACGACAACCAGAGTTGACGGGGTAAACACGAGGAGAGATCACGACGCAAGAGTGGAGGGTCAACAGTTAATTGACTAAAATAAGTCGTACAAATTCCTTGGCCTGCACACTAGCAAGAAACTTAATTTCAGAATCCACCTCCAACACCATTAAGGCCATTTAGGCCTACACAGTATCTCACCTACACATACAAACTTTATATGAAGATTTACGGAAGAACTTACTGTTAAGAAACACAATAAAGCAGCTGTCTCACGTGCAAGATGAAAGAGATACATAATAAGTTACTTATAAAATATTAAAGAGAATATTTTGATGACCAGACCACACTAGAAGGTGAAGGGACGACGACGTTTCGGTCCGTCCTGGACCATTCTCAAGTCGATTGTCCATTCTCAAGTCGATTGTCCATTCTCAAGTCGATTGGACCATTCACAATCGACTTGAGAATGGTCCAGGACGGACCGAAACGTCGTCGTCCCTTCACCTTCTAGTGTGTGGTCTGGTCATCAATAACACTAATTATATGGTGGTTTGGAAGTGATTACCTATAAGGTACCTCCTCCCTAAGGACCTCCCCGACCTCTTACAAATCACGTCGCTTTTCGCTCGTATAACACTCAGGCTAAAAAAGGACGTAATTAAAAATGGAATCGGCTCACGAAAGTGACGTACTGTCCCGTTTTCTGTGTGGATGCTCTGGCTTAGGTTGTTAGGTTAGGAGAGGACATTCAATTAATGGTTTTCACGACGTTTTGAAACCTTAGGAGAACTTCCTGCCCTCCTAACCTACCAGAGGACCCTTAACTTGCTGTTTTGAAAAAAAAAAATCAAATTTTTGTTCAATTATTTTTCATTTGTAAATTATGGCCTTATTTTGGTCGTAGCGCAAACAAGGGAAAATAGACTAAGTTGTAAGAGGACGGGTTGTCCTCGTCCCGTGGATCCTGGCGGGAAAAGTTAGTCATATAATTGGTTCAGAAATTGGATCACAATGACCTGTAAGTTAAACAATTTATATTTGTGTTGAACATAAACTGGGACACTGAACTTGGTAATTTGGAACACGTCAAGCAAGGTATACAAACTTCTTTTTTTTGAGATATATGCAAGATTTGTTACATTCTTGTACATCCCCGCCGCGAAGAATCGTTGTTACAACCAAGTACACATTTTACTGTTGAGTTAAACAGAGGCTACAGTTAAGGATTTGCGCCTCAGTAAATCCTCCCCGGCCAGGATAAGAACCCATAACACAGCGCTCACGGAACGCCAGGCGAGTGTCTTACCACTGCGCCACTGAGACTGGTAATCCTGGTAATTCTCTCCACAAAACTCTAAGTCTATAACACTGACTGTCCCATGGTAACTAAACAAGTCACAATCAAAATAATTAACAACCCTTAGCTCACTAAAGTGTTTCTCAAATCATTAAAGAAGAAACATGAATACGAGAAGAAACACAAGATGGGGATCATTTCCATAGATTTGTCTTAGATATACTCCTCAATGCTTTCTAAGTTAAGAAAACAAAAGCTAAGACGTGTTTCTATGAAAATTAATTTAATCAAATAATTGGTACCATGGAAAGACATGGAACAGTATTTCCCAATTATTAGGTTCAGATAAGAACTTGAACCAAATCCCGATATTCCTACCTGGAAATGATGACATACAATTAGCCACCGACACTACTACTAAATTCAGTAGTTTCTTCTCGACAATTCGCACATCCCTTGCAAATGCCACCCATCATAAATCCTAAACTAATGTAGATTAAGGAAATGTATATGTTTATCTCTCAGAATGTTCGGTAATACGTTTATATTGTTTGTGATGTGTGTCTATGTATGTATTAACACGATGTACTGAACGGGGTGAGAATAGCTTGAGCTACCTCATCCCTTTGTGTGTATTTTACCTCAATAAACTTATTTCAATTTCAATGTAGATTACTACCACTCTGGCAGCTATCCTGAGTCTCTTCCTATCGTCAACGAATTCCTCAAATGTTAATGGTATAATCCTCTCACTTAAAACTAAATCAAGTAACCTTTCTGAGATATCAACCCTAATTAAACAAAAAAAGTTTAAAGTTTGTAGCTCCTGAAGTAGCATTGCATTACAACAAATCCCTAAAGCTCAGAACCTTTCCAGATATTCTTAAGAAAACCAGGGTAATCCCAGTCCATAAAAGTGGCGATCTCTCTAAAATCACAAATTTTAGACCAGTATCAGTCCTTCCTACCCTATCCATAATACAACCCGTTCTCACACTTGCTTCTAGTCAATATTGGCTTATTTAATAAGTTCATATGTGAGATACTAATTGATTGTGAATATTTTAGTTTTCCTTGAAAAGCTTCATAGAAAACACCGACCTCACCTAACCTTCTTAGTATGTTAAAATAAGCATCTTATTGCTTCTTATTTACAATTAATACTTAACCTATCAACGGTATAGGTTAAGTAATAATTGTAATTAAGAAGCAATTAATATGATACTCTAACGTACAAACATACTTTACTTCTACTTAAATAAACTTAATAATTTACACCAATGATTTTCCTAATGTTACTCAACACTTGAAGCCAATTCTATTTGTTGATGTGACAACTTTCATTTCCTCTAATGGTAACCCACTTATTCTAAATGACTCGGTGAGTACTGAACTAGAAAAAAATTTCACCAGGTTCTGACTGTTACGCTTAACTTACGTTTAACGTTGATAAAATATTTGTATATAGTTTACCTAAATTGATCTGAAGGCCACTAACACTAGTGACCTCGACGAGGACAGGAAGCTGGCGGCTTGTCTAAGATTTGTTCTGAGAAACTTTTCCAGTTGGATTTTAAAATTTAACAGTTTTTTGGCATCTACGGCTTCGGCGGGTAGGCGGTTCCACGAAGTTACAACCCTATGGGTGAAAAATCATCTGTTTTCTGTTCTACATTGTAATTTGTTGAGCTTGAACCCGTTGCTCCTCGTTCGTGTTACATCTGACCTTTTAAAGAAATTGTCCGGATCAACATCCTCCAAATTGTTCAGTTCAGTGTTTTAAAGGTTTCGATGAGATCCGTCCTGTCATGCCTGGTTTGCAGTGTTGTTAGCCCTGTGGCCCTCAACCGTTCCCGATACGTGAGATGACTAAGCTCCGGTATGATTTTTGCTGCCCGGTGTTGCACTTTCTCCAGAGCAGCTATGTGTTTCTGAAGATGAGGTCTCCGTGCCTGGCTGCAATAATCCAGGTGGAGGGCGCACCAGAGACTTATATAATTGAACCACTACTTTCTTTTCCTTAAAGGTAAAGGTACGCTTGATTATTCCCAGAGTTTGGCTCGCTTTTTTTACTGCTGCTCTCACTTGTTGTACAACTTTTAATGAAAGATGGATTGTGACTTTAAGGTCCCTTTCTCCATTTATCTGTTGTAAGGTAGTGCTGTTAATTTGGTAGTTATGACGTGAATTATTATGGCCTACATGCAAGGTTTTGCATTTATTGGCATTACAAAGCATTTGCCAGTCATCTGACGTTGTTGTTGTTTTAGATTTAGCTACTCAGAACGAAATGTCCATGTAGCAC